GCAATTTTTCTCTGCAAATGAGAGTTTAGAAATTTTCAGCACTGAATAAACTACATTCGACGCGTGCCTTAAAATATCTAACAGGCTATAAAACTTCTGACAGCTAAATTGATTTAAAAACTAGGAAAAATTTATAGATTTCTCGAACTTACTTTTTAAAATAAAAATTAGAAAAATAACTTTTTTTAACTAACCTTCCGTCCTATTCTTTGGAACTTTAACATTTCGTCAGCTCTTGCATTTCCTTTAACTTTCCTCATCCAATTCATCTTTCAACCTTCGACAAACCGCCTTCCATAATACAGTAACCACAAATGACAATCAAGGATTATTACACTGATCAACACCATTCATCGAACTCTTCTTGGTAAACGTCAATATCAATACAGAATTTTCTCGAACACATTTGGGTCAAGGTTGAGTGGAAATTAATCTAAAATACGACACATCATTATATCACAGCAGTTGTTCTAAATCTTGGCAAAAAGTTAAACATTACTGTATTGTATTCCCCTCTCAGTACTTCGGTTTACCAGAGGAGGCACGGCGGCGTTGTTATCTAAGACATCTGCTTCGAACTCTGAAGGTTCCGTTTTCGACTTCACCCGAATCATTATTTTACTCAGTAATTTATTTGAGCGAGATATTTATCACAGACTGTTTCAGACCGGAGTTGAGTAGTCGGCAGAGCGTTGAATGCAGAGCTGACAGGTCGCAAGTTCAAGCACCGGTCGGGATCACTCCACCTCCCTCCGCGATTGATAACTGAAAACTCCCTGTTCGAAGGAAACAGAAAACTACACGCTAGCTCACCACTGTAGATTCTGCCTGTAAAACAAGATACGCTTGGCTCACGGCAGAGGAATTGAAATAAGCATCGATCGTCAACTTCATGAAAAGAAAGGCGCCGAAAGAACCCAATCATGAAAGTGAAAAGAGACCGATATTCTATCGGTTATGAACCTTTTTTACACGGTGCACACTGAGTAAATTCAGTGAACTCACAACAGAAAATTGATCTTGCTGGCGGTACTGAGAACAAGAGGTTTGCCAGTAAATTTGTAACATCGAGATTTTTTGTTGAGCTGCACCGCAGCTTCGTGGGTTAGACAATGCTAAAGCGTTGTTAGCAGTGCTGCATGTTTTTTGCTATGGCGATTCAAACCGAATTGCAGTCCTATGAGCTAATCGCATTCGTCAACATGACCTTAGCATTTTGGTCACACTAAAGCGTCACGCTGAATTGGTTGCCTGTCTAGATCAACGGCGCGATATTTATGGAAGATAAAAGAGTAATTATAAATTTAACAAGTCATTGCGGTACAAGCTGTAAACGAAACTTACCGCATTAAAATATTTAGTTTGAATATAAATGTTGATTATTCCACCCCAATTTTCGTAAGAGTATTCATTCACCTGTATTAATGTTTCGCTGTCACAAATTTTAGTATGTTTTGACGCACTGCCTCAGGTCTTTCTTTTTCATTATTGCACTTAATCTGAAAGCAGGTCAACCATTTTAAGGTATAT